GAGAAAATAGAAAATCTACCATAAATAGTAAATATCATACTAGGATTATTTGATAAAAGATGTTAAATATAACAAAATTACCAAATATCATATATTTCACTTAAAAGCATGTATTCTAAATAATATTATAGATCAATACTTAATTTACATAAAAGACTTATCCATTGGCAATAATAAATGTTGATTTCCATATACTGATGTCAAGAATCATTTTTATAAGAAGAGCAATGGCGAACTAGCTGAGACAAAGATGTTATTACTGCTTCTTTGCTTTGGATTTAAAAGATTAACACCAAAGGGTTTTCCCACCCTTGAAACACTGAGGTTACAGGCAGGAGGTGACAACTGAACCCATCACAGACAATGCAAACTGGGTAATAAACGATCTTTCTGCTGCTTCAAAGAATAACATATTTCACTTTGTTTATATCAACTATAAACTCATTTTTTAAATCCCTGAACATAAATAAGATCAAGTAAATAAGATATTTAAAGATGTTTCAAAGCACCTTTGAAAGTAAAGAGAGTTTAAGGTAAAAGCTGTCGTCTCTTGCAAATCCTAAACTGTCTACTAAAATAAATAAATAAATAACTCCCTTTGCTTACATTAACAGAGCTCAACAAACCCCACCTGGGATTCCATGGCTCCCCAAATTTCAGGCTACCCAACAGCTTTCATTTCCCAAAGTCCTTCTTGCTTGATTTCCAGAAGAACTGAACAAGGGGAGAAAATCAGATATGTGTTTCTTCTAATTATGATGCCTACTGAACCACCAGTACTGAAAAGTACCTGAGCAATATAAAACCTTCCAAGGTTCATCTATAAAAGGGCCATTGCGGAGGGGGGAGGAGGGGAGAACACAGAAAATACCTTACTTAACGTGTTTGAATTTTGTACTCTTTTACCAGAATATCTCAAATGTTTCCCTAAGGCAATGGCTCTTATACAAAACCATTTGTTAAAAATGACTCTGCTTTCAGAGATTCTTAAATCAACAGGTCTGAGACGAAGTTCAAGCACACCTTTTGTTCCTCTCCATAAGTGACTCTGAAATCATTATTGTCAGGCCTCTGAGTCCAAGTCAGGCCATCGCATCCCCTGTGACTTGCACATACATGCCCAAATGGCCTGAAGTAACTGAAGAATCACAAAAGAAGTACGAATGCCTTAACTGATGACATTCCACCACAAAAGAAGTGAAAATGGCCGGTCCTTGCCTTAAGCGATGACATTACCTTGTGAAATTCCTTTTCCTGGCTCAATCTGGCTCAAAAATCTCCCCCACTGAGCACCTTGTAACCCGCACTCCTGCCCGTCAGAAAAGAACCCCCCTTCGACTATAATTTTCCTTTATCTACCCAAATCCTATAAAACAGCCCCACCCTTATCTCCCTTTGCTGACTCTTTTCGGACTCAGCCCGCCTGCTCCCAGGTGATTAAAAAGCTTTATTGCTCACACAAAGCCTGTGTGGTGGTCTCCTCACACGGACGCGCATGACAATTATTCTAAAGGGTAGTCCTCAGACATGCACAGTTCTCAAACTTTGTTACTCAGGATAGGAAACCAATAATGTGTCTTAGACAACAGAAGGATCTGGGGCAAATGAAACTTTTCCCAGTATTTTCCACGACACTGACCTGAAATCACCTTTGTTGTTTACCACCCTCTCTGGAGGACAGTACTGTGCAGAACTCTCCAACACCACAATATCCACAGTCCTCGTATTATTCCCACGTTTGGTCTGGACGTGACAGCCCCAATTTCCAGTAGATCCAGCCTGAATATTAGAAATGGTTAGGGCACTGCATAAAGAAAGATTTTAAAAAGAGAGAAAACAGAATTAGGCAAAAAAGGAGACAATAAGGGGTCTCGATCATTCACTTAGCAAATAGTGTTGAATGCATATTGTGAAGTAAGCACTTGCTACATAAAAATGAATTTAAAAAATGACTCCTTCCTTTAAATCTTTCAATGTCGAGGCAAAAAAGGAAAGAGATCTTTAAAATACACGATCAGGGCAGTAAGAGACATATGAATCAAATGCAATGCTATACGATGCATGAGAATTCTTGCAGAAACAGGGAGAGCAGAACGCTTTACAGAACAGGAATGGCAAGCTATCCCAGCACTCTGGGTGGCAGGAGTTCAAGACCAGCCTGGCCTTCAAGATCAGCCTGGCGAAACCCCATCTACACTAAAAATATTGTAAAAAGTTAGCCAGGTGTTGTGGCGCACGCTTGTAATCCCAGCTGCTTGGGAGGCTGAGTGAGGCTGGAGGATGGCTCGAACCCAGGAGGCAGAGGTTACAGTGAGCCAAGAGAGCACCACTGCACTCCAGCCTGGGTGACAGAGCAAGTCTCTGTCTCACAAAAAAAAAATAGGAATGGCAAGCCCAAAGGCAGAAACATCGTCGTACATTCTTTAGCAAAACTTGAAGAAGTTTCCAAGTCACATCTCCCTTTTCACAGATTCTGAAGAAAATATTCAAACATGAAAAAAGATTATTGCCATGCGCGGTGGCTCACTCCTGTGATCCCAGCACTTTGGGAGGCCGAGGCAGGCAGATCACGCAGTCAGGAGATCGAGACCATCCTGGCTAACACGGTGAAACCCTGTCATTACTAAAAATACAAAAAATTAGCTGGGCATGGTGGCGGGCGCCTATAGTCCCAGCTACTGGGGGGACTGAGGCAGGAGAATGGCGTGAACCCGTGAGGTGGAGTTTGCAGTGAGCCGAGATTGCGCCACTGCACTCCAGCCCGTGCAACAGAGTGAGACTCCATCTCAAAAAAAAAAAAGAAAAGAAAAAAGAAGATTATGATTTTACATAATTAAGAAAATGTTTTAGGTAAAATATAAAGGGTTACACTAGAAACAAACCAACTACCTCTCTAAAAAGATTTAGTAAATTACCAATTAATACTTTCACAAAAGGTTTCCATGTTAAGGTATATTTCAATTCATAAAACAGCTGTATTTCTAAAGAGCTGTCAGTAAATCCAATTTCCAAGATGAAATCATAATTCTCTTATATATAAAACCTATTAATTAAGGAGCAAATGTCAGAGCCTTCAATTAATCTTTATTTCCCCCACAGGACCTAGTATGCGTTGCTGTTATGTAGACACAAATGATAAGAAATAATTAGACAGAAAGTATGTATCATTTTAATTAACTTACAAAATTATGTCTTGAAGTAAATACACATTTGTCCAGTCTCCTAAATCATTGATGGCTACAGCAAATTGTTCTAATAAAGGCTCAAGACACTTTTATATTATGAATCATCAAAGATAATGTTCATTGTCTTTACTAAGTTAGAAAAATAAACACACTGTAATTAATATTTTTAAAATAGAGTGACACAAAAAAGAGTTTGACATTAAATTTAACTTTGTCCAACATTCTACTTTATAAGGCTTTACTGAACTAGGAAGAAGTATATTCTGGCAATGAAAATCATTCCTTAATCCAGAAGTTCCCAAACACTGTCTTACTTCACAGAACCTTCACTGACATGGTAACTTTTACATGGTGCCCCTCTTCTCAGCTTGAAAAAATACCTATGGTGGTTTCTATTACTAAATTAAATCCCCAAAATGTCTATCTATATTCAAATACTTTAGTAGCCGTTTGAAAAAAGTAATACACATAAATTTGAAATAAAATTTTTATTGTCTTCTTAAATAACCACAACTACTTCTTAATGAAATATGTGTGCCTGTTGGACACTCCAAAATTAATCTAACCTCAGACTTGGACCAGACAGTGATGCTCATTTCTTGTTCTACAATGACTTTTACACACAGTACTTGCTTTGTACCACAGTAACTGTCCAAAGTCCAGCATCCCAAAGTATGACACTATAACGGAGTGTTTCTAGTTTTCTTACTACATTTTTCCCCTTCAATCTCCAAATCTATAAATGTTTCCTGGATAACTTTCAGCAACACTTTTAATGTCTAAAACCAATCACTGGAATAAAATTTTCAGGAATCCTCAAGGCAGCAAATTTGGAGATTTAAAAGAAAGAAGTAGCTTCAATTTCAACTCTTAAGAAAAATGCTGTTTCTTACTGATGAAGAATCAAACACATGGGGAGATCAATGAAAAATCAATAGAAATCTCAGATTAACCAATACAATAACCACATATTTCTTTTTATTATTATTATTCTGGGGCAAAATCTAGGTAAAGAACTGTCTCGGTCTTCACATGAAAGATTTTCACATTAGTCCAATGTCCCTACCAAAAAAAATGTTAGGCTAACTTGCTATCCTTAGAATTAACTTTTTTTGCATTGCTATACATAATTTAAATTTAAGCATGACTTGCAGAAATAGACTTATACAGTAAATCTACTTACTTTATAGTCAAATAATTTAGAGTTCTAAATTAATTAAAGCTCTTTTACATTGAAAATGATTCTACTTTTAAAATTTTACTGTTGAATTATACATCAATTATTGTCTGTTTATACAATAAACTGCTTAGTGTACAATGTGATGAATTCTGACATATGTATAGGCATGCGAAATTATCACTACAGTAAAACTAGTGTAACAATATATCATTTCCAACAATTAATCTTATCCCCTAATAAGGGAATTCTGCTTCCAGTAATCACTGAGTAGCTCATATTAAATCACCCTTTCCACAGCTAACAATTATATGTCCCTGACAAATTATAAAATTACAATCATTTGAACACATGAAGATTGATCAAAAGCAGGCAATAACAGAAGAGGAGTTGATATGAGAAACAAGGGTTTTTGGCACTGGGAAGTAACTAGGAGAATTTTTTTTAATGGCTTTTGCCCAAGGGTAGGCCTCACTCAAATAGAAACTTACAATCTTATTGACTTAAAAAATTAGAAGACAGAGGTAGAAAGAAGTCAGGCTGGAAGCCCAAACTACTATGTATAAAATGCACCAAGGTATCTTACCAATCCTGAACTACACTTGCAGGTAGGGCAGAAACCAAGACTTTAGCTTCTGCCTACCCAGAGGGGACAGAGCTAGGAATTAGTTCAGCCAAGCTAATTGCCTGAACACACAAAAGTTAGCTCTCTTCAGGGGAATACAACAGAATCCAGAGTCAGAGGTCAGCAGACTTTTCCTTCAATGGCCAGACAGTAAATACTTTAGGCTTTGCTGGCTACGAAGCAATACTAAGAATATTATATAGGTAATTATGTAACCATCTGAAATGTAACCATTTCAAATATAAATAACATTCTTAGTTTATGGGCTCAGCAGGCCAGATTTGGTTCATAGGCTATACTTTGCAAACCTCTCCTCCACAGCAATTCATTCATAATGTCGAGTCTATAACCCAAAACTGTCAGACACATAAACAATTTTTTTTAAAAAGAAGAAAATATGAACCATATTTAACAGCAAAGCAGCCAGTAGCAATAACCACAAGATGGCCCACATGTTGGAATTAGCAGGAAAGGATTTAAAAGCATCTACTCTAAATGTTATAAGATATAAATGACAATGTGCTTCTAGTAGACATGAAATCTCAAGAAAAATTATAAAATAGCCGACTGCGTAAGTCTTGAATCTCAACTCAGAGAACCCCTGAGATTTGAATGTCAACTCAGAACCTTTAGTTTTTTCAGTAATATTTCATAGCACTCCTACGAGTTTGCTGTGATGTTACCCTAGGAGGCCCTGGCAGAGAGTTTGACAACTGTAGCTCTACTGAAATAAAAATATAAGCCAAGTTCTAGGTAGGTGGAAAGAAAGAAGAAAGTGAGCAGAAAACTCAATGTCTATAGGTAAAAATTTTACCAAAGTAAAATATCTGGTAAGTGATAATATCATATATATTCTTAGTCTATTATACTTTATAAAGTTCATTTGAATTATTTTGGTAGTCACACCAATCATGAGGTTGATAGTTCAGAGGTTATATTCTTTGAAACTAGTAGGTGGAGAAGGTAAGTACCTTAAAATATTGTATCAGTCAATATTTTGACTAGAGTCAATGTCAGGTGGTTACTAAAAGAGAAAATACAAGTTTAGCAGCAGGAAATAGTTGGAAATTAGGTTTAGCACTAAAAGTTTACATTTTTCCCCCAAAGACTTTTAAAAAGTCTCCAATTTCTGAAGTTTCTCTTTGAAATTAAGCCTTTTCTTTAAAAACTGGATGAAAAGATGGCTATTTAATTTTAGAAGATGAATAAGAACCAGGAAAAGGAAATGCCAGATGTTTGCATTTTTAAATACAAGAAGATGAAATATTAATTCAAATTCCACTAAACATTGCAACTCCAAAAGGATAAATAAAATATACAAGCACAATTCTTCATTTAAAAAAAAAAAAAAGTTTACCTTGCAATCAAGGAGCAGTTGTGAATCATGTTCTTTTCAACAAAAATACCTTGCGATTCATCAGTTTCAACTATTCTCCCGTCCTGATACCACAACACTTGCATGTCCTGATCAATATACGAAGCCATGCACTGGAAAGGAAGGCTGTCTCCTTCAAACACAACTTGGCGATGAGATGGAGTCATGTAGAAAGATGGCAATTCAAGCGGAGGGTCTAGAGACAGTCAAAGATTCAGGAAACAAATATTATTTCCAAACGCCATAATTAAAAGTTACAGAAATTCTAGGTAAAATTATAAAAACAGAACAACAAATATTCCTCAGTAACCAGCATGCTAATGCTAACATCAACCAGGCTGCTACTGAGTTTAGGGATAACAGATAAAAACGAAATTTAAAAGAAACAATTTCATACTCAGTTCTGACATTTAGAGTTATTCCTCTTCAGTGGCATCACAAG